GCCGTCATGATTACAGCAGAAGAACTGCAACACCTGTGGTACACCTCTGTCATTAAGTCACAGCTTTTGAGGCCAAAGTCCTGCATGCGAGGATTTCAGAGCAGGAGAGCTAGCACGGTACTGGGGCAGTCACCGGAGCAGAATCCCGCTTAGCAACTAAGCAGCTGGTCTCGCTGCCTCGCCCCGACCACAGCTTAGGGGGTTTAGGGTTTATAGGTGTATACGGCCCTCAACCCTCAACCAAGAACCCTAAACCATGCCCTGATGAAAAGGCGAAAGGCAAAGTTTTTTATGAAACCCTGGGTAGCGGTTGGCTTATGGCCCGGGGCGTTGGGCAGTCAGACTGGGATGCAAGACTCCATCCAGCTCTTGTGTCCATTTCAGTTAGGGTTCAGGGTTTAGGGTTTAGGGTTTTTTTTGGGGTGTAGGGTTTGAGGGTGTTGCTGAGACTTTCCGGCCAGGACATCATAGCCCAGATGCAATGAAAGGTTTAGCACTAGGGTTTCAGGGAAGAAGTTGTCAGTTGTTCAGGGAGGTCGCCCATGAGTGTGGATGGAGACCCCGCATCACATACCGCCTTCGGATCTCTACTCGTGGGGGTGACTTGAGTCACACAGACTTAGCAGCTTGAAGGGAGCAAAGATAAACATGTTCGTTTGTGGATTTGCCGGCTAACAGGTCTCCGCCAGAGCACAACAAACTGAGAACGCTCCTGTCTGCAGTGTCAAAGCGTGGTAGCTGTAACATCAGCCGTTGCTGTCCAATCTCGCTGCTCTCTTTTGAATCTAGGCAGGCCCTGGGGACATGTTATCATGTCCCTTAATTATTGAGTTTAAGAGGATAATCTATAGGAATATTTTTCAGGTGGTCTTACGGGTCCATCTTAGGCATCTTGTACTACTGGAAAGGGGAGGCCTGGTTGCATGTCGAGTGTGTCTGACTGCCCCGCGTCGAGGAAGTGAAAGCAAGTTGCCATCTAACAGGGCAGCATCTCATTCTTCATATCTTCATATGACCACTATTCTTGTGTCTCATGAACCCTAAACCCCCAAACCCCAAACCCTAAACCCTGGACCCTAAACCCGAAGTTCCTGAACTGAAGAACCCAGGGCATGTTTCCGAGCACAAGGTGCTAAAGCGTCATCTTCTCCGGCAGCTGTGGCTGTGTCGCAGCCTTATGCGGGGGGTCATGGCACGAGGCCAGAAGCGCATGAAGAAGGAGAGGGAGGAGAGAGAGTGAGAACCCTAAACCCTAAACCCTAAACCCTAAACCCTAAACCCTAAACCCCTGAAAATCTTGGACCTGTCCGCTTGGCCCTCGTGGCCGGGGCTCCTTCCTGAGCTTATGCACGCAGAAGATTTGGAAGAACGGACAGGGAGAGATAGAGGAGAAAAGCAGCTGCATAATACGGGGGTCGGAATACTTGCTAATAGTATTCCCTTAGGGTCCCTGTATATTTGTACTAGGAGAACCCCCAAAACCCTGTTCTAATTATTACGGCGCCTATATTACACATGTATACAAACACATTTTTAAGGGAATACTGATGGTAAGAACTTGTTGATCTTGTTGCGCTAGTAAGGCTAGGGGCCAACCGAGGCTGTAAACCCTAACCCTAAACCCTAAACCCTAAACCCTAAACCCTAACCCTAAACCCTAAACCCTAAACCCTAAACCCTAAACCCTAAACCCTAAACCCTAAACCCTAAACCCTAAACCCTAAACCCTAAACCCTAAACCCTAAACCCTAAACCCTAAACCCTAAACCCTAAACCCTACCATCCCTTACAAGAGTCCTCCAAAGCCTTTGTTTTTGGTAGCTAGGTCTCCTAAGAAGCCCATCATAGGCCTTGGAAGAAGAGCCTACGAAAAAAAGGTAGGTTTTTGGGGTTCTTAAGGTAAACCCCCTAAACCCCCTAAACCCCAAACCCTAAACCCTAAACCCAGGTTTGACTTCGACCAGACTCTCACTACCAGGCAGCGGCTCTGTCTTAGTCGGAGACCTGTAACCCCAACTTACCCAGAGTTTTATATGGGCTACAGCTCCTTATTCAGGTCTTTTTTCTAGACAGTTTGGGTTAGGGTTTAGGGCTACAGTCGTCTTTGACTAACTAAGGGGTCATAGCCCTAAACCCTAAACCCTGTCATTGCTACTAAACTGTAGGTAACTGGGGTTACAGGGACACTGAAGCAGAAGCGTGGACGGTGCCTACGAGGAACCTCACCATGGCTACATTGGCAACATGTTTAGGGTTTAGGGTTTAGGGTCTAGGGTTTAGGGTGTAGGGTCTAGGGTCTAGGGGTTAGCGCACGCTGCGGACTTGTAGCAGCCACGACCCTGGGCCCGAAATCATCCAAAATCCTCAGATCCTTCGCCCCAAGAAGCAGCTCGGCATGACATTGACATGTCCTAAACCCTAAACCCTACTACCCTACTACCCTACTCCCCTCTTACCCTATTTCCCTCTTACCCTATGACCCTATTACCCTATTGCCGTATTGCCCTAAACCCGACATGTCATGGCAGCTTTCGCCATCCTCAGGAGACCTGAGTGCATGCCAAGGTTCTGTGGTCCTCACGCCCTGAAATGGCTGGTTGAGAAGGTTTCAGGGTTTAGAGTTTAGGGTTTAGGGTTTCAGGGTTTAGAGTTTAGGGTTTAGGGTTTTAGGGTTTAGGGTTTAGGGTTTAGGGTTTAGGATTTCTTTCATGGTCGATCGGTTTGTGGTGGTTTAGGATTCGGGGAATGCGTCCGTGCCCTTGCAGGCACGTGGGCGTCTTCGAGGACAGTTATGTTGGGTTTGTGGCCCGATGCCAGGCGTTTTGCGTGCTGGTGGTATGGTGACAGTATGTGACAGTGTGGCAGATTCTGTGTCTATGGTTGCCAAATGACTGTGAGGGCGATTCGGCACTGGCGCACTTGAGCGGTTCCGGATTCTGGCAGGTTCAAGTGGTTTTGTTTCTTGAGATTCACGAGTCATTCACTGTCGTGACCATGGGTTCTCCACAAAACTATGTTTAGTCATCTGTTCTCATTGCAGTGTGGCAGCAGTGCAGCATGGCAGCTGACAACGCCCATAATTAGTACATGCAGCAGGTCTGCAGCAGCGAACGGAACAAACAGCAAAGGCTCCTACGAGACGAGTCGTGAGCCTAATCTACTCTCTTTCTGCCGTTGGGCATGGCGCGCATCAGCGGACAGTGTCCTGCAACTGCCGCTTGGCAGATTCCAAGTCTATGGGGGTCGGCAGATGTTGCATCTGACACCCGTTTCGCGGCTTGTTTCTGTGTTTAGGGTTTAGGGTTTAGGGTTTAGGGTTTTTTACGCTTGACCCCTCAAAATGGACAGGGCGCAGCTAGGACAGGACTAAGCAGAAGTAGGCTTCAGTCCATGCGTTGGGAAGGCGAGGCCTTTTACATCATGATAAAGAGTAGCAAGTGTCACTAGGAGCCAGGGAAGGCCCTTATTCCCTGTTTTTTTTCTTGGGTTTTCCCTTATAAGCCCCTTTAAACCCTTTCCGGTGACTCCTGGGTCGAGATAAGATGTGTCTTGGTTAACATCCACAACGTAATGGCAATAGACTGCTTTGAGCCGTCGTGGTGGCCCTAGAAGTCTTGAGCAGGCTCTAAACCCCCGAAAGCCCAAAACCCCAAACCCCCCCTCACCAAAAAAAATAGAAGCTAAACCGCAAACCCCAAAATGTCGGTCTTTGGCGTCCTGCGGTGTTCTCGCGCGCGCATGCGCGCGCCCCCTAAGCCTAAACCAAGAAACCCCCAAACCCTCAACTCTTCAACCTTAGGCCGCAGTCTGCTTGGTGGACACAAAAAAGCTAAGCCCCCAAAGCCCAGGCGCTGCCGGAGATGGAGCCAGGCGTGCCTGGGAGATTCTGGGGGGGGGGGGGGGTTTGGGGAGGGTTTTAGGGCAGTTCGGGTGTTAAAGTGTGTGGGTTCAGGGGAATATCAGTTGGGTTTGATGACTGAGGTTTGGGGTGTCAGGGGCTGAGTGATTTTAGTAGGCTAAACCCTAAACCCTAAACCCCAAACCCCAAACCCTAAACCGTGCTGTCACGAGTGCAACATGTTGGGGACTCGTTGCAACAGGACGTAGTTTGGGGTTGGGGCGTCCGGGGATGAGGGCCACCTTCTGTTGTGATGTTGTGAGCTGTATGGTGGAGGCCTTGGCCGTTTAGGGTTTAGGGCTTAGGGCTTAGGGGCCGTTTTTGAGGTCACCATACACCCCCCTTAAATCCCCAAAGCCCTTTCTCACCCACATCTGTGGACAGATCACGTGGCAGGCACAACGTTTCCGGAGTTCGTGTCCCAAAGCATGGACAACCTCAAGGAGACTTGGGCTCAACTTGTACCTGGGACCCTCTTTACCTACAGTTTTATGGGTTATACCTAGCAATGACGGGTAGTTACCACGAAACTGTAGGTAAATAGAGTCCCAGGTAAGGCCAAGATGAGCCTCGAGGGACCCTATGCCTGACGACCTACGGCTTAGGGCTTATGAGGCAACTTAGCCTAGAGGTGTTTAAGCCACGCCCAGCCAGCCAGGAGAAGCTACTGGCAGTCTACACTGCGACCCAGCATTACGACAGGCCTGCGAGCGCTTGGGGTGTAGGCGAAGACCACGAAGTCTTTGCGACATCTGCGTCCAAGACGTATAGGTCCACAAGGTTCTGTCAGCTGACAGCTCGGTCTGCAGGGGAACAACGCAAAATCGCGGTTTAGGATGTAGGGTTTAGGGTTGAGTTTGTTTTTTTTTTTTGGGGGGGGGGGGGGGGAGTGCACTGGGAGGCTTCAGACAGCCTTGGCACGAATTGGGACGTCAGCCTCTGGCTTCAAGACCTTTGATCTTTTGCGAGATCCGATTGGGCGGACAAACAGGGTTTAGGGCTTGGGGCCTGGGGCCCAGGATTCAGCCGCCAGCAGAGCCGGGGGGTTTAGGGTTTAGGGTTTGTTTGGGCTTTAGGGTTTAGGGTTTAGGCTTTTGCTGAAATGGCCTCATTGGCCGGCCCGAATCCATGCAATGGCGAAACAGCTGAGCAGATAAAGCACGCCCTCGAGTTGAAGGCCAGCAAGCAGGATCACAGCCAGGATCAAGAGTGTGAGGTTGATGCAAGTTTGGGCTGCACGGACCTCTACTGCCTCATCACAAGCTATATTTGGTTGGCCATCAAGGGTTTGTTGTTTGCTCTGCCTCTGCTTGTGGCATCCTTCCCTGTTGTGGTGGTAACCAAATGCTTCGGCAGTTCGCTGCCTCCCAAAACCGAGTCTCTGACCAGCCGAAGAAGTCTCTCAGTGTTGTGTTTGCCTTTCCTTGTTGTATACATCCTGTTGGCGCTGATCGTGTATCTTTCCGATTGCACCATGTACTACATCTTCGGTCTACCATGGTTTCTCGGCAGGTCGCTAACGTGCCAGGTCAGGTACCAGGCCAGCTGGGAGGTGATTCGTCCTCACCACAGCGGTCCCTTCGTGTTGTTCCACTTGACCGACGCGCTTGTGGCCCTTGTTGGCCAAGTGCAGAGGCATGGGGTGCTGGAAGCAACAGGACAGCTTGCATTCATGATTATCATAGTTCCTTGGTGCAAGTACTACATCAACACCAACCCCTTGCTGTACAACTTGGAGGAGCGCTTCGTGCAGCAGATCTCCACGAGTCTGCAAGATCTCCCCATCGACAGGGTCACCCTAGCTTCCCGACAACTCATATCCCGATGTCGCCAAGCCGATGACCTTCAGAATCGTGTGGACCAATGGCCATTCGTGCCTCACTACCCGTACCCACCCCCGGGACGCCACTACGCCTTGGGGATGCAGGCGGGGGCAGGCGGTAAGCCTTATGGATTCTACCTCCTTGTGCACACCACGCATGCCTTGGAGTTGGGTACCACGGAGTTACGTGACCGGAACTATCTGACGGTGTCCAACAGTGCACAGCTCCCGGTGTATCGAGTCATGCTGTGGTATAACAATCCCTACCACCTTTACACCGGATATGTGGAGGCTTCCATCTCCTCTGGAGAACCATCTCAGCCTGAGAAGAGACATGGCGGAGAACATCCCATGTGGCTTGTCGTCCCTCGCTCCCCCTTGCAACTTGACCGTGCTGCAAGCTTCGGAGTGTCCATGATTGATGCTTTCTTCGACCGATGGCTTCCCTTTTACGTGGATGAGATGCGCCGTCTTCTTGTCGGCGACGAGTACGCCAAGAAGATGTCGGAGGGTGTTGTTTCCAAGCATGGAATCAGCCGCCCCGCCGGCGGAAAAGAGGTGGTGCACCTCTCCGCAACCCTCAAGGACCCCTGAGTTTCACAGCAAAGCAAAGAGGAGCCGAAATAGCTAATGTCTTGGGTGTATATCGTTGACCCAAGCTGTTTCAACATCTTTTGAGAGGGCCTGCTTGACAAAGCTAGCAGGAGAAGGAAATCCCTACTGACTTCAAGTTCGTTGGTGCGATGAGAACTGGACGCATCTAGATGAAGTGGCCCTTCTAGCTTGTGCCCACCTGCACGCGTTCCCCAGTCCCGACGCGGGTGCGTTCCAGTGGTCGACGTGCAATGCCATGTCCGCCCCAGTCACTCTTGCGCGTCCGACGTGCAGGTTCACAGCGTTTGGGGCATCTGAAACCCCACAAGGGCCGAGGGCCCTGGAAGTCTCAAGCTGGCAAATGCACCCAACAAAAACTGAGTATGGTCTTTGGGACCATACCAGGACGGGCCATTCTACCCTATAACCCCTTTAAGAAGGCCCCTTATAGGGTTGATTCCGGGGATTAGAAGGCCGAATAGCTCATCCTGGCAAGCCCTAAAACATGAGTCCTTAGAGCCTTCGGTCTTGAGTCCAACGCAAATATGGGGATATCCGATAGTAGGGTACCTTATTGGGGTCCGTATTACAAGGGGATCGTTACTAGTTGAGGTCCTCCCTAAACCCTAAACCCTCCATATGGCGCTGTGAGTTCGGCCGAATCTTTCCAAGGCTACCGACTCAGCCTCCTTTCATGCTCGCAGCCGCCGATTTGCTAAGAGATCCAAAGCAGCTGTTGTAGGGCTTAGGGTTAAGTTTAGGGTTTAGGGTTTAGGGTTTAGGGTTTAGGGTTTGGGGTTTAGGGTTTAGGGTCCAGTGCACGCAGGCTCTTCACCTATCTAGACACCCCCTTGAACCTCAAGCCATCAGCACCTGAAGGCGATCCGCCGGTCCGAAATCGGCGCGGATCAGCCGCGCCTTGGTGGTGTGTCAGAGTAGGGTTTAGGGCTTAGGGTTTAGGGTTTAGGGTTTAGGGTTCAGGGCTTAGGGCTTAGGGCTTAGGGCTTAGGGTTTAGGGTTTAGGGTTTAGGGCGAGGGCTGAGGGAGCTTCAGATCAAAGAGTTTGGTGTTTTCGTTTAGGCTTGTAGGCTTTGCTCCATATGGCAATCTGCCCATTTTCTTTTGAAACATCAAAGCGGTGAAAAATGGCTTCAAGTACCTGGATGCTATAACCTAACCCTAAACCCTATACCCTAAAAAAAAAACCTAAACCCTAAACCCTAAACCCTAAACCCTAAACCTAAACCCTAAACCCTACTTTGAGGCTAAAGCTCTTTGAGCTCCTTGAATTCTAGATTGCGCAGTGCACTGCCCTGGAACCCTTGCATGCCGAGTTGGCGCTGCGCTTGCCTGCAAACGATGTGGGTTTAGGGTTTAGGGTTTGGGGTTTAGGGTTTAGAGTTTATGGTTTGAGGTTTAGGGTTCAGGGTTTAGGGTTTACGGCTTGTTGTCTGATGGTTCCGATCCGGGCGAAAGAATGGAACGATTTACTTGTGCCCTTCCAACTGGTTGGATGTGCCACAGGCCCCAAATCAGATTTCCGCCACATATCTGCCAATCTTGCGGTGTGGTTCCCAGAGGGCTCGTTATGGGTTTAGGGTTTAGGGTTTAGGGTTTAGGGTTTAGGGTTTAGGGTTTAGGGTTAGTGGTACAGTCGCATGTGCTGCAGGCACAGGCCTTTCCGAAGAGGCCGTGGCAGGCAGCCGCACCCGTCAAGTGCATACCCTGAACCCTAAACCCTAAACCCTAAACCCTAAACCCTAAACCCTAAACCCTGCAGCTGTATTTCGAGCTGTTGCAGGGGGCATTCTTTCCGGGCTTGGCGGTTTCTCAATTTTGGGGCCTGGGGCAGCCTCTGCAAAACGAACTCCGAACGCTGGCTGGTAGCCATCTGTGCACCAGCCTGCCCATCTGGTTTTTAGTCTGATGAACGAAATAATGGTTCATTTTGGGATACTCTTACTTCCTAAGAAACAGCAAAACATATTTTTGCTTGGGTTCCAAGTTCGGTACAGGCCATCGCAATCACGAACGCATGCCACGGCAGTAGCCCTAAACCCTAAACCCTAAAACCTTCCATGAGCATCCTCGACTCTGTGGAGGTTTCTGTTGCAGCCGAACACAGTCCAGAGGCAAGCGTTTTCGCTGGTTTAGGCCTATGGCTGGTTGCTTCTGAGGTGAGGGCTTGTAGGGGAAACCTCTAGGACCGGTTTCGGTTATGAGTTGGTTGCTTTCCAGGGGTCTCGGCTCTAGCCCCATGCCAGAGCTCGAGGCAGAATCAATGAAATGCGAGACCCTAGCTTGCACTTGATCCGACACAAAGCATCATCAGCCCATCAGCCACTTCCAGAAACAACGCCGCGATTTGTGCGACACGACGAGTTTGTGTGAGTCCTGGGTGCTTTCGGGCCGGGGCTAGGACCCAGACAATGCTAAACAAAAACTGACAATGAGTTCTATGCAGAGTTGCAGTCCATTGTTTGCAGCCGAGTCGTATCGCTCGCAAGTCCGGTAGGTCGCAGTTAGACTGTGAACAGCATGGTTGTGTGTATCTACCATGAAAAGAGGCGATTGTGACCTCATGGCACCTGCGTGAATGAGGCATGACCGTGACGGTGGATTCTTTACCAGTTCCCTACGCCACCTTGGGCTTCTCGGGCAGCTCCGACTTTGAGGAGGGCGGCTTTGAGGTGGGACGCTGAGATGTGCGTGACAAAGGGTTATGACAGTCCTGAGTAGGGACGGCAACCAGGGCAGACTACAATAACCAATTAAGGACTGTTGGCATAAGGGGGAACATCCCAAGGTATGATCTTTCCAAGGCGATAACAGGCATATTATCCAGGTCCAAGCTTGTCGAAGCCCGGCCATCGGTCAGGTAGCCTTAGTATGTTGGTAGCCCAGTGGTGCTCTCTTCCCTTTTTTGGGGGGTTCAAGGTTCCCCTACAAAGTAACCAACCCCCCAACAAAGGGTACCCTTGTTATGATATGGTTGCTGTGCTACCAAGATGTTCTAAGCCTCAGCTTAGCAAGGGAGGTTCAGAGAGCAGTTGACACAGCTCCTCGTCGGGCTAAGGTTGCGATGCTCTTCTGATATCCAAGTCCCAGAGCCAAAATCCTAGAGAGAGGAGAGAGAGGAGAGAGAGGAGAGAGAGGAGAGAGAGGAGAGAGAGGAGAGAGAGGAGAGAGAGGAGAGAGAGGAGAGAGAGGAGAGAGAGAGAGAGAGAGAGAGGAGAGAGAGAGGAGAGAAAGAGGAGAGAGACGAGAGGAGAGGAGAGAGAGAGAGAGAGGAGAGAGAGAGAGAGAGAGAAGAGAGAGAGAGAGAGAGAGAGAGAGAGAGAGAGAGAGAGAGAGAGAGAGAGAGAAGAGAGAGAGAGAGAGAGCGAGAGAGAGTCTGCGAGAAGAGAGAGAGAGAGAGAGTGAGAGAATGAGAGAGTGAGATCTATGATGCAAATTTACATACATAACATAGAATTATATACAGGCTGCCATACCTTCACCTGCATAGCTGCGCGGCAGGCTTCCTCACTGGGAGCAGATGAAACATTAAGTCAGGCTTCCCCGTCGGAGGAGTGGCCGGCACACTCTAATGGTAGTTCCGCTTTGGGGAGATACCGCGGATATGGTTGGTACCGTTCATTTAAAGTGAAGAATTGCGGGGTTCCCTCCTGCCCTCTGAGACCTCGCCTGAAGGTCTCAACCCCAAGCTTGGGTTCAGGGAACCCTAAACCCTAAACCCTAAACCCTCAACCCTAAACCCTAAACCCTAAACCCTGAACCAGTACAGGCTCGGGTTTTGTAGCTTTGGGGCCATAAGGTGGCACACTTCAACGAGGCCAGGCGCACAAAGGAACGAAGAACACAGTGCTGCAAGCACTTAGCGACACCAAGCAAGGCCCGAAAGAAGTCGCAACCTAAGTCATCTGACAATCTTAATTACTTAGCTCTCAGACTCAGCGCCCCTTCAACCTACTGGACTTGGAGTTGCAAAAGGAGGGTTTAGGGTTTAGGGTTTAGGGTTTAGGGGTCTAGGGTTTAGGGTTTAGGGTGGTTTAGGAAGCCACTGCATGTGGGCATGACGGTTTGGGTCAAGGGAGCTTGGTGGGGCCCTGAGTGCTTAATTCGGGGTCTGTAGGCCAGTGTAGTGGCTGAGGGTTGTTTCCCAACTCCTAAACCCTAAACCCTAAACCCTAAATCCCTGGATGGATGCAAGAGGCCATCCCATGAACAACCTTGCAGACAGTTTCAGCTAACTTGTTGCCGATCGCTACAGCTTCTGGCCATTCGCGCAGTCCCGGAGTGCCCCGAAACCCTAAACCTGAAACCCTAAACCCTAAACCCTAAACCCTAGCCCTAAAACCTAAACTCTGAAACCAGGAGTTCCGCACGCTGACGAAGTGGGAATCCCTAATTCTGCCGGCATTGGACGGCGCCGCCCGGTGGCACAACTTGCAAATCCTAAATTCTGATGCATAGGGGCTTTATAGTTTAGGGTTTAGGGTTTAGGGTTTAGGGTTTAGGGTTTAGGGTTTAGGGTTTAGGGTTTAGGGAAACCCTAAACCCTACACCCGAAACCCTAAACAGATGATAGGGTGAAGCCTTGAGTCGCATGTGTGAGAGCCGAAGCAGAAAGCGGCAGTTAGCTATCTTGCTGCCATAGCTCGACTGCGCGAGTGCGACGCGAACGAGACAGGTCAGGGAGGCGGCCTCGGCCCTGCCGACTGTACTGTACTACTGTTTGCTTAAGAACCCCCCAAAAAACAAGACGATTCTCCCTTGAAGGGTAATTCTTGTGGGGGGTTCTTCAGCAACTAGTGGTGTATGGGGAGCTCGTTTCGGCCAAATGTGGCGAAGGGTGGGAAATTTAGTCCATGTCACTCCGGCCAACTTCACTGCAAAACATGCGGGCAGAGGACGGCCGCTGTTGAGTAGTGTTTCAGTCGTTTCAACCTTTTCCCCCTTGGGAATTATTTTTATTATTGCTTATATGAACCCAAGAG